CTTGCCAAAGGAAGCTTTAGACCTCCCCAGAAGCAAACAGAGAGTTTGGTCTTCATGGTGGAGATAGCCATTAATCTCTTTTACAGTTCTGCCAAAAGTGACATCAGTTGTAGCACAAACCTGTCAGACCTCACCGAAGCACTTATTTCACAGAAGCCACCAAACAGCTGCTTAGAGTGAATAATCTGAACTTGCTTCTGACTGACCCATATTCAGACCACTGACCTAATGGCTGGGGTGTTGGTATCCCATTACTGATCCTGAAGCATTCTGCCCTTAACTCACCTTTGCCTTGATGAGCTTTGGTTCCATCTGTAGATCGCTTTAAATTCTCATCTTACTGCCCAAACGTCTGTCCCTGCCTGCAGCTTCTTGACCTAACAGTTTGTTCATGACAAGGTTGCCTTATATCTAAGGAAGAATGTAACCACTTCCTCTTGGGTGTCACTCCACACAGGCAGCAGCTGGTGGTGAGTAACCCACCCCGTCCCGTCAGGCACGGGCACATCGTGCAGCTGGTCCACGGCATCACAACTCGGTACCTCAACACGTAAGTCCTTCCCTCACCCTCTGCTGAGTCTGCTGGCTAATTCTGCTGCTTGTCTCTCAGATTAACTGTTCAGGGCTTGAAACACCCTTGCATTCAGGTATATATAAACTGCCTGTTATTGGTGGATTGTATATGCATTTTTTATATATATATATACACACACATTATCTATAGGAGGGTTAGCTGCATAAGCCATCCCTATAACCCAGAGAAAGGATGCTGTATGCTTATTTATTTTTTGCAGTTAACTTGGCAGTGAGATTTGATACCAATCACAAACTGTTCAGTGGCTGCCAGCTGCTTCTGGTCTGCCCTACTAATAGACTTAGAGGGAGTAGTGGTGGTTTCAGCCATGTTCACATTTCATGGTGGTTCTGCAGATTCCTGAATACACAGGCCCCTTGGTGAGTCTTCATCCCTGCACCTTCACTGCCTCTACTCCAGGCAGGTGCAGATATTTAGTATTTTGTGTGACTGTCAACCCAAAGTCAACTCCACTCACTTTGATGGAGGAGCCTCTTGTGTGAGGGATGTGCTCTGGAAGTGAGGAAGATGTTTTGGAGGATCCGGTGTGCTGTGGCTAATTGCCATGGCTTCTTGCCTGTTTTGTAAAGACTGCAGTATGAATTTGCCTTCTGACTGCTTCCTGCCTATACTTGAATACCAGATTAGGAAGGGGGTTGGGTTCTGAGTTTGGGTTTTTACCAAGTCCCTTCCAAACTTAATTTGTTCATTACTGGAAACCTCAGTGAACAGCATCTCTGTTTGCCACAATCAGTGCTTGTTTTTCAGCCTGGCATAGCAAGCATCTATATTGGCTTCCTCTGGGCCTATTCCTGGCAACTCTTGGTAGTGGGGAGGGTTCTCCTTCAGAGAAAACAGTGCAATCTGTATAAATGTGTTACTTTTTGCTTTATTACTGAGTCTGGTCTAAACCAGTTCAATACCTTTATGAGTTTGCTTTCTATATGAATTTGGGAAATGGTGTTGGAGGATCATGCTTTGCTTGTCCTCTAGGCATGATGTTGCTGCCCCTCTTAGCCCCCACTCCCAAGAAGTTTCCTGCTATATTGATTATAACATCTCCATGCCAGCACAGAACCTCTGGAGAGTGGTGAGTGGTCAAAGGGAAGGGAGGAGCTCATCGTGTTGCAGCAGAAGTAGCTGATACAACATGACAACCAAAAGCCATCTTCCTGTTGTAGGAAATTGTAAATCGGGAGTCTGACACAGACGTGTGGAAGACAATTCTGTCAGAAGTGAGGCTTGTTCACGTGAACACCTCTGCAGTGTTAAAGGCAAGTGGATTTGTGTTTGTCTGCTCCATGCAGTTCTTGTAATCTCATCTGTCTGCTCTAAAATGCCCAAACCACTAAAACAAACAAGTGAATAAAAGGAAACAATAAACTTCCTCAGTGTGTTTGGCAGGGCTATAAATTTACAGTCTTCTTTCACTTTCAGCTCAGTGGAGCATCTTTACCTGAGTGGGGATACCGGCAGCTGGAGGTGGTTGGCGAGAAGCTATCCAAAGGCTACCACCAGAGCATGGTGTGGAATGTGGAAGAGCACAGATATGGGAAAAGTATGTTTGAGCCATGTTCTTGAAGCAGATCTCTGTGAGTGGGGGATGCTTCATGTTGATGGGAAGGTGGCATCGTGTGATAGAGCTCTGGCTCTATCATGGTGGCAAGATCCCCTTAGAGGTCTCCTGTGTTTGGACTATGTATTGGAGGCAGGCTGCAGGGAGTGTGAGGAGCCAGGGATATATCCTATGTACTTGCTCCCCTTTACAGCTTTCTGTCTGTTAGTGGTTATTTCTGAACTATGCTATTTTCTTCCAGGCCTAGAGCAAAAAGAGAGGGAGGTGGAACTCCACTCTCCCACACAGATGGACATAAGTAAAAACCTCAGCTTCATGGCAAAGTTCACGGAATTGCAGGTGAGGGCTTTGTTATTCCCTTCATCTTGCCTTCTGCTGCAGGGCAGGAACCTGAGCATTTCTGCAGGCTCTGAGCCTGAGGGTTCATTGTTTATTCCATGCTGATAGAGTAGTTTGGCTTCCTCACTGGAAAAAAATATTTCAGACTGCACTTAGAAGGGCATTAGAGATTTATGCTATTCAGTAACGAATACCCAAGTGATTGTGTAAAAAAAAGAAGGGGGAGGAAGGGCAGTTGGGCACCCAGAAGCTGTCTGAAACTGAACTGTAATGTGCTATATATGCAGTCAGTTGTGTTGATGCCCTTACTAACACTGTAGAAGTGTATTATATAAAAACAAAATAAACCCCCTGTATTGGTTAGTATCCAGTATGAGATATGCGAAATCCCACTCCCAGGTAAGGAACTTAGTATCTTACATTTGGAGCTGTTTACCCATGCCTGCTATCCCACTCATTGTTGCAATTCTAAAACCCTTCTGTTTGCTTTTTTTCCTAGTGGAAAATACTGACATTAAAAAATGAAGAAACAGAGCATAAGTACAGTTCCTCTGCTCTTGACTGGATCACAATGGACACCAATATTGCCTACTGGCTCCACCCAACTTCTAGTGTAAGTATGAGAGGCAGAAGTAAATGAATAAATAAGAGCCTGGTGAAGAAATCAGCCTGTTCAGTTCAGGTGTGAGCTCTGGGAGTGTGAGTGGGAGCAGGGCTGCAGTTCCAGCCAAGGAGTTGTGCCAGGATTAACTTGTCCTGTATTAAGAATATATTTTCCCTGAGGGTTGGGGTTGGTTTTGGCATGAGAGCCAGCTTTGACAGTAGTTGCTTTTAATTAAATCATGTTGTCTTGTTTTTGGTAAAGGAAAACTGCAGTTTAATAGTTTCCATTATTGATTCCATTTAGGAGATGAGTTCATTTCCAATTGCATCTTTTAAATGCCTTACATTACAAAAGAGTCTGAAAGCAGTGAAGTTTATCAGCCAGCTTTGTTCCAGGAAAGAGCAGGTCCTAGCCATGCACATCCTGACATTTAATTTAGCAAATAGATGCAGGTAATATTTAAAGTTACCTAAAAGAACTGCAGAATGTTCCTACTTCTGGCTTCTATCCTTCAGGCCCAGATCCACCTCCTTGGGAATGTTGTCACCTGGGCTTCAGCAAATGTTGCTGCTCTGGTCTACATGTGTCTGTCCCTGTGGTACTTGATACGACGCAGGAGAAAGATCTACGACATTCCTGAAGGTCTGATTCCATTGTGTATGTGTGTGTCAAGGTTGGGCGGGGAGGGAGGGTTGTTGCTTGTTCTACTACCCCCTTAATGGCCCCCAAAACCATTTACAGCCATATGCTTGGCTATCCCAGCACTCTTTCCTAGGAATACAGAGACAGCTAGCATAGCCTATGAAGAGGCTGATTATGGTTGTCACATGATGACCATCACCTCGTAAGACAATATAGCAGGCATCACAGTATTTGAGTCATTCCCTGGATGTAAGAAACATCCAGGCCTTTGCTTTGGATTCTGCTGGGCCCTTTCATGATGATTTAAAATAGATAGATACTGGCTGTGTGGGAAGGGGTTTATTCTAGATGTGTTTGTTGCTGCTGAGGTACCATCTCCTCTGTATGGCCATGCAGTTTAATGTTCATCTTTCCGACAGCATGTTTTGTTGTCGTGCTGTGAAGCTGCTCCATGTGGGTACTAATCTGTCTTGATGGGGGCTTATAATCTTGTGTGACAAAACATAATCATTTCCCTCAGCTGAATGTGGTTAAGTTAAAGGTTGTATTAGCACAAATGATAGAGAGTGGGAGGGAAACAACAAACTATGACAACAGGCAACTTCTTAGAGGCTTTATGTTTCCATGGACTGTGCTTTGAGATATCTCCTCTATCCTACAGATGCGTGGCAGCTCTGGGTATCAGCTGGGGGGATCTGTGTTGGAGGCTGGGCTGTGAATTACTTGCCTTTCTTTGGGATGGAGAAAACACTTTTCCTGTACCACTACCTGCCTGCCCTCACATTCCAGATTCTCCTGATTCCCATTGTGTTACAGCACATCAGTGATCATCTCTGCAGGTATTTAGTTTTAATGGATAGGTGGACAAGAGAAGAGACACTGTTCTCTTCTCCCAGGCTGGCACTTTGGCAGGCTGCTGCAGGGAAAGCAGGACTTTTTTCCAGCAGTGGCCATACTGCATTTGCAGAAGACAGGCCATATGAAATCTTCCTTTAGGATGAAGTGTTTGACCAGCCTTGGTGTAACTGCTTTTTTCCCCCCCTCTCTCATGCCAGATCTGTGCTTCTCAAGAGCATGTTCACTGCATTGATCGTAGCCTGGTTCTCTTCAGTTTACTTTGTCTATTGCACATTCAGCCCTGTGACCTACGGGGAGCCCTCCCTGTCTGTTACTGAACTGAAGGACTTGCGCTGGAAAGACAGCTGGAACATCCTGATCCGAAAACAGTGACAATTACCATCTCATTACAGGCAAAAAGAAACACCTTTTATGCAAAGCCAAGAATTTATTGTCAGTATAACTGAAATCTTAACAGACTGATCAAATAATTGACAGTAGTCCAGCTCTAATTATTACAGGAAAAGAAAATAAAAGAACATTGTTACAGAAAAGTCTCAACAGTAATACAGTTGTTATGAGCACAATTCCCAGTTTCTGCCCCCATTACATTCACCCTTCCACTGCTCCTCAGGGTTGCTGAATTCAGTCAACAGCATCCCAGCTACTTTGCAGGGAAGAGTGCGCTGCAAGGGTTTCTTCTTCTTATCCTGGGAGAACAATGGTGATGATTCCTTCCTTCTTGCAGTACATTGCACTTAAGGCTATTTTACATGTTTCCTAGCACCTTGCTCTGCAGTTCCATGTTACTAGTTACTATAAATGGCTTCTACTCTCCAACATATCAGATACTTTCCTTTGTTTTCTTTTTATTCCTAAAAACCAGGGTTTTCCAGCTCTAAAGCTTACATGTTTTTAACCTTCAGTAGTTGGCCCTGCAGCCTCCAGCATCATCCCATGACGGTATTCCTCAACAATGCATTCTTTGCCCCCACTTCCAATGCTCTGCTATCATCCCTATTTCATTACATTACAGCACTAAGCCAAGTTTATAAATAGTTCATTCTGCAGAGAGTAATGACTTGGTACTATTATCTATGTATAATCATTTGGCATAACCATGATTTTTTATGAAGCTAAGCAAAAATAAAACAGACATTACAAAAATTGCTGTTACAGCTAAACAAGCTAAAACAAAGCTTCAGGCAGGCCAGGAAGTCAGCCAAAACCAGAAGAATCGTTTGGCCTTGTGGCATTGACATGAAGCCTGTGGCCCACTACTATCAATGGCAGGATCATAGTTACTGGGCTGCATGTTTACACCTCAGTCTCATAGGAAGAGGAACTCAAGGTAGAACTGATCATGCTGACAAGGAAACCTGCTCTAACTTGTACATGAGCTCAGGGTAAACCCATTTTAACTCAGCCCATGCCCTGGCCTGCACCAGCAGAGGAATTTAGAGTAGGGTGTGCACGTGAAGGACTGGGATTGCTCAGTGGGGACACTGTAATAGCTCTGTACAGGTATTCAAAAAGGGTTATAGTACCTACACCACATCCGATTCATTCTCTTCATGTGGCTGCAACAGCAGGATCTGACAGTAGAGCTCAGAGCTGACCAAGAACAGCACTCCTAGCCTGACCAGGGTGCTCTTTATAGCATTCCTCACTGCTCTAACAAACGCTATTCAAGGCTGCTTTGAGCTCCCCCCGCCTCCAGAGGAAGGTATGATCAAACACCACAGTCATTCAGAGTAGGTTTTAGTGACTGTTTTGCTCCTACTTCAGTCAGCCCTGATAGCTAATGCTTCAGTACAGTAGCTCATACTCTAGAGTCTGTCACCCTGAGCTAAACAGCACCCAGCAGCAGTTAGGAGAAGAGCTTTCTCCTCAGCATTACAAAAGTGTACCTCTGAGCTGTGGGGATCACAAACAAGACAACAGACCTTTGCTGATTTCCAGTGTTGAAAAGACTGTAAGGGATGAAAGTGCAGACTGCACTTTGCTTCATTTATTTTCCTCCAAAGCTTCAGCCATTACAGAACTAACACGAACAATTCTGGCTTAAGGGGAAAGAGAACTGCTGAGTTTAAGAAGCATCTCCAGAAGTGTCCCTTTCTGTACCTTTGTGCTGCTGTAGTGCAAGGAGCACAGATACCTTTTATATAAAATGGTCATTTCTCATCACTGTTCATCTGCTCATCAGCCCAAGTCACACACCCCCATCCAACACAGACAGCCCCTGGGTTTAGAAAACTAGCCAATATGAAAAAGGTCCTCTCAATAATCTCCCTCCCCCTTTACTCCTCCTTAAAATGACACCGTAAGTCGAGACTCAAGAAGGGTATCACAAGGACACTTTCAAAGGCCCAGCTTGTGCTTGATTCCATATTGCTGCAGGGTCACTTATCTGGGGTAAACAACAGGAACTGGGATGTCACTGTTTACTTCCAGCCTCTTGTCTGCTCTATTTAGCAAACCAGACATTCTTGAGTTTAAACTGAGTGCAAGGGAAAGGCTTTGACCCTGCTGGAGGGTAGAAGCATGTCCAGACAGCTCTTTGTGCTGTCAGAAGGAGGCTCCTGCAATTGCTTTCCCCCCCTTACTACCCAGCTCCAGAAGCTGATGGATTCCACCCAGCAGAATCTGCAACCAGCAGTACACAAACGCCCTAAAAGACACTAATACTGACAAGGTCAGGTCTCTGTTTCCATGAGCAACTCAATCCAGTTGGAGCTCACGCATTCAGTAACTGTGGTAAAGAAAGACAACTATTTGGGTACAAAAAATAATCATACAGTGTAGCAAAGTTTGGGAGCTTAGAAAGGAATAAATTAGGAACCAGAATCACCCAGCTTGGTCCTGACCACTTGATGAACTACAAGTTCCCATTTGTCCCAGACAGTCCCTGTTTCATCTCTTATCTCAGGGGAGAGATTCCTCTATAGATCTATCCTTCCATCCCCACGGGGTAAAAGGGAAGCTGGCCAGCAGGAAAGCAATGCCACAACCCAAGGTGCCCAACAAGGTGGAGAAGTGAAGGCCTGCACCTGCTTGTTAAAAATGAACAGGGTGTGAACTAGTCTTGGCCAAGAGGCTGCTTCTTCTTTTGAGAAAACCAGGCAGATAATTTTCCTCTAAGGAAGATCATTAGGGAAATGGGGTCTCTTGCTAACCACCAGTAGCACTTAATTTTCAGGGGAGCCTTCAGTATTAAATCTCATTTTGAAAACTCACAAAAGGCAATGGCACTGCCTCCAACCACGTCATCAAGTAACATCAGTGATCCAGGCATGGCAGGGAGAAAAGGGAGAGGGGTTTTGGAGGGGAGAGAGGCTGCAGGCCAACCCTTTCCTTTCCCCTCTGCAAGGCCTTTCACACCAGTATCCCCGCCACTGCCAGGATGATTTATAGGGCACTTCACCAACCATTCTGTTGAAGTCCTTTCCAAAAGTTGTCTTCATCATTGGTCTGGCAAACCCTTCAGACACTGAGGGGTTAGTGTGGACGGCTGCTGGATTCCAGGTGGGAGCGCTTCCCAGCCGCGAGTACACTGCTGCTCTCTGTTTGCTCTGGGAATGGGCGCTTGTAGGTCCGACCGTGTCCGTTCACCGCCCCTCGCTGCCACTTGCAGATGTCTCCATTGAGGATGTCTTGAATGTGCTGCACTATGAGGTTTATGGCAACTGCAGAAGGAATGGGAAACAGCACACGTAGGCTTTCTTGGCTTGAGCTATCTAGAAAATGTGGAGCATCCAGCCCTGTTCAACTCAAGTTTTAGCAAGCCCTTAAATAAAACACTGTCAGCCCTCTACAGCAAGTCAGACCTCAATAGAAACCACCAACTGCAAGACCAGTTTTAATACTGGTGTCCTGCTCTGCATCTGATAGCACATTGGTTTTTCCAACCCTCAGCAGAGGGGCTCAGGCAGCTCCCTCCCCTACAGCCCTCCAGCAAAACACCTTTCCTTAGAAGACTGCAAACAAAGCAGCTCTCCTCCCAACCCCAAAGGTGGGCTCCCCAGAGAAATCAGAGAACCCAACTCCCTTTTACCCATGTTGTCAACTCCTCGGGGGATGATCACATCTGCATACTTCTTTGTCTGCAAAACACAAACAGAGACTTTTAATGGGAAAAAGTCAGGTTTAGTCTAGGAAGAAGCTGCTACCCAACATCAGAAAGCTGGGGGCAAAGATGGGGGGGGAGGGTTCCATGCTCTGGGACTGCAAGGTTATGCTCTTGGTCATGGTAAACACCTGAATGAACTGAGAAGTCATTCTGGATTTAAGATCAGGGATTGTTCTTACTGTCCCTCTGCAGTGAAGCAGCAGGGAGAAGCAGCAGCTCAAGCCTGGAGTACTTGCTTGTACACGCCTGAAGAATATGCTGCCTTCAGACAGGTCATCTGCTTTGAGGCCAAGGTCCGTTTGCTGGTTCTCATCAGCATTTCACAAGGCACTGCTAAATCTCTACCAAGCACCCAGGTATGCAACATGCATGTGAAATTCTTTCCTGCCTCTGATGACATTTTATTGATCTCCACCAGCACTCTTAAACAGGCTGGCAAACTCAGCATTCCTAATGAGTGCTTTTACAGTCCCAGAATTACTCTGATCCAGAGCAAGAGCTGCCTGAGATTTCCATCAAGAGCTGCCTTTTCCATCTTATTTAATTCACAAACAGGATTTTGTTCTCAAAACGCTTTGTTACAAATTAATTTGATTATGTGAGCACTTAAACTGGCCCCACATTATATGGCATAGCAAGCAGATGCTATAAGGGTCTGCCCCAGGTATTCACCAGTGTTCCCTGTTGAGAGAGAGCCTGCAGGAAACCAAGTTCCTCTTTCTTTCTGCAAGACTAAAGAATGAATGCAGAGTGGGAGTGTTTCAGTCAGAGGGACCCATGTGCTAAAACTGCCTCCTGGGATTCCTGTGGTGCTGTGCAAGCAGAATGGACCAACCACTTCAGCTCCTTAACCAAGCAGCATGTAATGGTCAAACAGATGAGGAAGAGGGGAGAGTGTGAGACTGGTGAAGTATGAACACCAAAAGCCACCACTGCTGCACGTACAGCGCAGCTCATCCCCAACTGACCCTGTTCCTTCTCTCCCCAGAACCCCCACGCATCAAAGAAGTGAAGCACTCAGTACCGGTAAGCAGAACTCCTCAAAGGCAGGCTTGACAAAGGTGGTGTACTGAGTGAGGATCTGCTCCAGGTCCCTCCCACGTTTCATATCGCGCAGAACTGGGGTGGAAAGGTAAAACCATCAGTCTCACCACAATGGATATGGCACATAGGGTACTGCTGCTTGTGCTGGCAGCGCGTTACCTCTGCGGGACAGCCGGACATCAGAATCTGTGTCAACAAAGAGCCGGAGGTGAAACATGTCCCGAATGTCCTGATTGTAGAAAACCAGGATCCCCTCAAAGAGCACCACGTCGGCGGGATAGACCACTGTTGTCTCTGCCTGCCTGCAGGGAGAAACACCCCGTGCAGGCTGCCATCGGGCTTTACACCATGGCTGACTTCACCCTCACAACCACCACCCCCTCACAACCCCCAAACCTACCTCGAATGCGTCACGAAGTCGTACGTTGGCACCTCAACTGTTTTGCCCTCAACAATGTTTTTCAGGGTTGTGTGCATCAAGTCGTTGTCAAAAGCATCTGCAAGAGGAAGGTGTAAAGAGGAACAACCGCAGATGCTGCTGCATCAAATGTTCTGCTCAGGTTGTCTGGACCTGAAGGAAAAACTCTGTCCAGTGATCCACCAGGAAAAGAAGAACTTACAGCTTATTCCTTCCTAATGCTCCCTGCCCAAGTGATAACCACTGCACTCGGTTAGAGAGATAAGGAAGCCAGAACTTGCTGTTGATGAGCAACTACAACACAGTGAAATGAAGAGCCCAGAAGCAAAGCTGCTAATTCACTGTGTAATTTCCCCAAACCGCTTGGTAATGGCGTGATTTACACACAACGGTGGGTGTGCGACGCTTTTAACCTGGAGGCTAAGAGTAATTTAGAAAACCTCAGGCATCTTTCACGCTTTCCATTATCCACCCAGGCGAGCCTATAGCAGGCACCAGGGCAGACCGTGGTCCTGTTTGCAATCCGTAACGCCACCCTGAGCAAGGGGAGCAGTTGTTTATAAGGACAAGAAGTACCCGGACAGGATTTGGGTGTTACTGGATGCTGTCAGGAGCCGGGAATGAGGAGACAGCGCCTGCTCCCCAGCATCGCGCCCCGCGTTACAACAGCAGCCGGCAGCAGGGGCACAGACAGCGGGGCTCGGGGGAAGCAGCGCTTCCAGCGCACCCAGCACCGCCCCGGGGGGGCTCGGCTCACCCGGGTGGTCGAAGTTGTACTGGCCCTTGAGCGCCTTGGCCTGCTGCTCGGCCGTCAGCACCTTGTAGAAGCTGTCCTGGCTCAGGATGAGCACCTTGCGCTGCCGCTGGTCCACCTCCTTCTGCCCCAGCAGCTCCATGATCTTCTCGCACACTGTGGACTGAGCACAGCGGGGTGAGGCGGGGCCGGCCCGCGGGACCCCCTCCCTCCCTCCCAGGGGCCCTGCAGCCGGTCCCGGCGGGCCGGCCGCCGGCTCTCACCTTGCCGCTGGCAGTGCCGCCGCTGACGCCGATGAGGAAGGGCCTGGGCCGCGGCCGGTCCGGATCGGGGCCGCCGGCGGACGCCATGGCGGGGCTGTGGGGGTGCCGCGGGGCATCATGGGATTTGTAGTCCGGGCGGGGCACCGCCGGGGGGGGCGTGGTGACTGAGGGAGGGGCGGGGCTACGGGCGCGGGGTGCGCTCGGCGTCAGCCCCGCGGCCACGGGGATGGGGAAGCTGCGGTCTGCAGCCCCGCGGGCACGGTGCGGGCATGGGCACGGCTCTGTGCGTGTGCGAGCGCAGCCCTGGAGCGCTGCCGGGGATGGGGCAGCCACGGCTTCTCTGGGCACCCTGTGCCAGCGCCTCAGCACCCTCCCAGGGAAGAGCTTCTGCCTTGTATCCAGCCTGAGCCTCCCCTGTTTAAGTTTTAACCCGTTACCCCTTGTCCTGTCACTACAGTCCCTAATGAAGAGTCCCTCCCCAGCATCCCTGTAGGCCCCCTTCAGATACCGGAAAGCTGCTATGAGGTCTCCACGCAGCTTCTCTTCTCCAGGCTGAACAGCCCCAACTTTCTCAGCCTGGCTCCATACGGGAGCTGCTCCAGCCCCTGAGCATCCTCGTGCCCTCCCCTGGCCTTGCTCCAGCAGCTCCGTGTCCTTCTTGTGCTGAGGACACCAGAGCTGCGCCCAGCGCAGGGAGCGGTTGGACCCGATCTCAGAGCTCTTTTCCACCCTGTTTGGTCCCATGGCTCCCTGTACCCCCCCATAGCCATTAACATTTAACCACCCCCCCCGTGTGTGTGACCCCCTCCGCGGTCCCGAGCTCTCGAGGCTCCCCCGTCCCCTCCCTCGGTGCCATTGCGGGCGCGGCCCCGGCGAGCAGCGGTCAATGATTAAACCGGCCCGGCCCGGCCCGGCCGCCTCTGCGGGGCCCTGCGGGGACCGCGGCGGGGCCGGGACCGAGTGGACGTAGGTGGGACCCGAGGCGCGGGGCCAGGACCGGGGAGGGGGGGGAGACCCCGAAGTGGAGGGGAGGCTCCGCTCATCCGCTCCCGCAGCCCGACCCTGACCCGGGAGGGGGACACATCCGGATGCGCAGGGCCGGGGCTGAGCCCGTCTCAACCCCGTCCCCGTCCCCGCAGGCGTTTCCGTGCCATGGAGAGCGAGGCGCCCGTCGGGTCCCGGCGAGCGGAGCGGGGCGGCGGCAGCGCCGGTTCCTGCTGGGAGCCCCCCGGGGCCGGGCCCGTGGTGGTGGCGGCAGCGACCAACGCGGCCTTCGAGGAGGACCCCCCGCCCTACTCGCCCCCGGACCCCAAGAGCGCGCATCTCCTGTACCCGCCCTTCCCGGTTCTGCACCCGCCGGGGCCGTTCCCACCCCAGGGCCTCCCGCCCCGCACCTCCGTACGTACCCCCCTGCCCCGCTCCGAGCGGGGTCACTCCTTGCCTCCCCCCCCCCAGGGCTTGTGGGGTCCGAAGCTTTGTGGGAGGCACAGGGGCTCTAACAGCCTGCTCTGTGTCACAGCATGAGGGGGCACCGAGCACCGCGGGGCCCTCAGCCGCCGGCCACCGGCAGCCGCTGCCCAAGGACTACCTGGTGGAGTCGGTGCTGGTGACCGTGTTCTGCTGCCTCCTGACCGGGCTCGTCGCCCTCATCTACTCCCACGAGGTAAGGATGGTGCGGGCCCCACGAGCACCAAACCCCGCTCCTGGCCCTGGGGGCCTCTTCTCACCTCTCCCTTTCCTCCCCCTGTGCCAGACCCGGGCTGCGCTCGGGCGCGGGGACGTGGTCCAGGCGTACGCGGCATCCAGGAAAGCCCAATCCCTGGTCCTCTTCAGCCTCCTCTTCGGGTTGTTCGCCTCCATCAGCTGGGTCATCTACGTCCTGGTGGCCCTGTACCTATAACGGGGACCCCAGGTCCCAGGGACACGGCCTGGCCTAGGGGCACAGCCGCAGCCCCTGTGCATCATCACCGGGGCTGCCATGGGATAGGGGTGACCAGGAGGTGTTAGTGCGGCGGAGCAGCCACCCCGGAGCCACGCGTGCCTTTGCCTGCCCGCTCTCAGCCCCGCACACCACGGCGTGGGCAGGAGGAACCGGAGCGGTGCTGGTGCCGTGTCCTGCGGGAGCCGGCGCTGAGCAAGCAGCCGTGTCGGAACAGCGGCACCGGGTGCGGGATGAGGCTCTGCTGCAGGATGAGGGATCCTGTCACCGCGGAGCATCTCAGAGGTGCCAAACAGGACCTGGTGCAGAGGAAGCATCCGGTTGGATTGGGGCTGGAGACAGAGGCAAGGGCCAAAGAGAAGCCAAAGCACGTGTGCAAGAACCCTCCCCGGTATTGAACAGTGTGAGAAGAGACTGAATCACGTCATTTAGCTGCTGTGGTGATTCTGCACGAGTAAATCACACACAAATCAATCAATCACACGCAAATCAATCACACACAGATCAATCAATCACACACAAATCAATCACAGATCAATCACACACAGAGGCTGCATCGCCTCCTTCCTGCTGCTTCCTGATTGAAATAAACCACGGCTGCAGCCAAAGCTGCTGTTTCCTCTGCAAGGACCTTCCCCTCCATCCCGTGGCTTTTGTCCACCACCAAATCCGGGGTAAATTCCCCTGCAATGGGTTAAATCCGGGTTTCCTCCTGAAGCAGAACCCTGGCATGGGGAGCCCACATGGGGCTGGGCTGGGGCTGCAGCGGCCCCAGGCCTGAGGGTGCCTCTTGCAGGGAAGGCAAGGGGAGGATGAGCTTCCAAAGGCCGCTCCGATGAGCTGAGCTGAGCTGAGCAGGACACGCGCGTGTCCTGCACCAGGGATGGATGTGCCAGGCCCCATGGTCCCATCCGGCTTTGCTGCCCGGTGGGACACAGCACCATGGTCCACCCCCAGTGACGGGGGGACGTGTGGGGTCAGCATCTGCACATCCATCTCCCTGACAATGATTGCCAGAGGGATCCTGAACCCTGTCCAAGGCTGGAATAGTGCTGGAGTGCGCCCGGAGCCCGCAGGGGTTACTTATAGCCCCTGGTGCCAGCACACGGCTGCTGCACGGGCCGGGCACGCACTGACCCATGTGTCCCCTGGGGAGATGGACACAGGGGACATCAGGGCCTGCAGGAAGGTGACAGGAGCAGAGATTCCCCTCCCAGGGGTGAGGCATGCACTGGGGCAAGGCCGCCCCTTTGGAGGTAGGGATGGGGGGAAAACATAAAAGGGACAAATGCAGAGGGGGACATGAGAAAACACGAGGCCACACCAGCGCCAGAAGTGGATTCGATTGTCACTTTAATCCACAGACTGCTGCATGCACTGTAAACAGGACCGTCAGGCGGGTTTGTTACCGGTGTTTATTCGTCTTTAATATAAAAGGTACAGGTCTGAAATGTTCGCAGGAAGATGCCACCATCAGGACTGGGTTAGTGGTAAATACACAATGGAACCGATGGGCTGCGGGTGGGAGCGGGGCAGGGGGCTGATGATGGGGGCATCACTCCCCCTGCTCCCTGCCCAGTGCGGGGAGGGGATGGAGACCCCATTTCCCCCCCAAAAGAGAGGCGATGCCCTTGAGGATGCTGCTTCCAAGACACAAACACGCTCATGGCCAAGCAAAGGGCTCTGCTCTGTGCTCCCCAGGTGCTGCTCCTGCACTGGGGGGGGGTTCTGGGCGAGGAAACCCTTCCTTAGGGACAACGGCAAAGGGGAGAAAGGGGATGGAAAGGCCGGGGGGAAGGGGCTCAGCCCCATGGTGCAGCTGAGCTGGTGGAGGGCAGGGAGCGAGCCCCCCCCCATTGGTGGTATGAGAGCGATGGGGCTGTGGCTTTACACACAACACGCCTAGAAACAGGCTCTGTCAGAGCACAGGGGCCCAGGGAGGTGCTCGGTGCCGGCCGGGGCAGCCCGTGCCAGACACGGGCTCTATTTGCCTTGTCACGGCCGTGTGGGGTTTGCCTTAAAACCTGATTGACAAAGGCAAGCACCGGCGTGAGAGGCGGGGAAGCCTCTGGGGACTGCAAAGCCTCGGCTGGACACAAACGGCTCCGGTGCCCTCGGTGCCATGGGATGAACCGTTCTGATGTGCTCTGGCTCAGACGTCGCGTTTCAGCGCAGGAACATCCCCGCTCCTCCCGCTCTGGGGATGCACAGCAGGAGCTGGCGCTGGACCCCACGCTCTCCTCACCTAGAAGATGCCCCCACAGGCAAATGGGGGTCTCTCCCTGTGCCTTGGCTGCCGGAAAATAATGGAGCTGGTGCAATCCCATGGACAGGGCAATGCTGCCGTTGGTTCGGGCAGAGCTGCCGTCCAGCTGAGACGTTGCAATCTGTAGGAGGAGGTGCTTGCACCTCTGATTCACTCAAAGTAAATAAGAGACTTCAGCAAACACAGAGCTGCTGTTGAGAAATAAGGATGCTCTGAGAAGCACCCATCTGATGCTCTGAGAAGCACCCATCCGATGCTCTGTGAGAGATCCCATCGCGAGCTGCTGCCCTGAAGCCACAGGATTTTAAGACCAAACTCTAAAAGCCACGAGACACGATGCTAAGAAAGGCTTCACAAGGCTGCTAAAACCTCCAGGGTACAGTTAAATCCACCATCCACGCTGCAAACCATGGGGTGAGGAGAGAGGAGGGGCACGAAATGGCCTGACTGGGGAGGACAACCTGGGTGGGGCACAGAGAGGGGACAGAGGGGCTGAATAAGGCACACCAAACAGATTGGGGTTAACGCTGTGTGTGTGGGAAATGAGACCCCCCCCCCCTTTGCTCTTCCATGCTGGGCTGGGGGCGATGGGGACCTGCTGGGGCTCCTGCCAAAGCGCTGAGAACAAAGCAGAGCACCAAGGGCCAGACACACATTTGGCAACAGCGAGAGGAGAGGAGTGGGGTGCAGGGGACGGGGCTCAGCCAGGCACAGGGCTCCTTCCCACTTCCATTCCCAACCCCGGAACCATCCCGCTTGCTCCGATGCCTGGCTCCTGCACCCGCCCCGAGCCTGCTTTCTTCCAGCACTCGGAACAACATTGTCACTGGTGGGGAGTTCTATACATACTGGTTCGCACTTCTTTTTCCTATAAACTCGTCGGTATTCAGACATGCATCGAAAAGAAAAATCCCCAAAGGATT